TGAGCCGCTGACCACAACTCTCTGTGTTAAATAGAATATTTAATCAGTCTATTATACTTTTTTTTTAAATGGAAATAAAGGACATCAGATAAAAACTAAGGAACACTGTAGGCTAAAAAATTCTCAGGATTTGTGATACAGAGCTTTCTTGAGCAACAGTTTAAAGATAATGAATATACAGTCAATAAGCTTATCCTATGAAGGTGAAGCCGAAAGTGCCATTGCAGTTTAATTAAAAAAAAAGAGATGAAATGGACTGAATAATCAAGTGAAAGCAAAAGCTTCCATGTGTAACTCTTGATGATAAAAATACTGTGTTAATTCTTAAAATATTTTGCTGTTGAATTAGTTCTAATTGCTTGAGAATCTTGCAAGTAAAACGGTCACAACTGGATTTTGACTATTACATAAAGAAAAATGAGTACAAGGAAAATTATTTTCAAACTAAAAATAAACTTTAAGAGTATATATAGTAGGTAAACAAGAGTTGTTTGAAATACATGAGTAATTCAGGGCACGTAGGTCTAAAGAAAATTGTAAGTAGTAGAATCGCTGAGAGACAGGTTTTTTTAGACAAAACCGCATTATCCTCAAGTGAATGTGGAACTAAATTCTGTCTTTGTGTTTGCTTCCTCCAGCTTAATGTCATTATATACTTCAAAGTAAAGCACTTCAAAATAGGTTTCTCTTAAAGAATTGGGGTCAGTTTTGCTGCTGAGAAAGTATGTCATCACAGGCAGCATTCCAGTGCTCATAGAAAGCTGCATTTAAAGGCTTCTCTGGATAGAGCTGTTGTATTCCCCTTGCCATGTATTAAAAATTGTCTGTATTTGAAGACCACAAGACATATTTAGGTTTCCTAAAACAATTTTCTTTAATCCAATGTTGTTTTTATCATATAAAACCGTTAAGAACAGTACTAATCAGGGTGTAAGTTCTTACTAATTTCAATGAGCTTTTAGCTGCCTTTCTTTAAGTGGCTGATGATCATCAATAAATAATGCACCTGATTGCTATTGTAGACAGGAGCAAAACAATGATTTAAGTTAATTTTGAACTCCACAGGGTAAGATGCTTCATGCATTGTTGGCAGTAACTGATCCTTTTGCTGCTTCTCTCAAATTTGTCGGTTCGTATATGTGTATTCAAATGTGTGTCATACACTGTTTCCAAAATGCAGGTTATAGTGTTAACTATAGTAGGAATTTGTGTGTGGTGTGATGCAAAGGTTAACCATGTACGTAGCAGTGAGGGCAACTGCACTGGTGCTGATGTTATCAGTCTATCTTGGTAAGGAGATTGAAGATAACCAAATCGTTGCAGGCATGTTTAGCTGAAGGTTTCTAAAATGTGTTCCATAAAGACAGTTATTTACTTTTGGTGGGTTTTTTTGTTCTTGTTTTACTTTTGCAGAGAAGAAAGTGAGAGTGTGCTGACACTGAAAGGTTTGACACCAACAGGAATGCTGCCCAGTGGTGTGCTCTCTGGAGGAAAACAAACACTGCAGAGTGGTAAGCATGTTTGCCTGTGTGTCTTCCTATGTGTAAAAAACCCAATTGGTTTTCAACTGCAGAATCTAAGAAAAGTAACCGCAGCTGTCTCAGGAAAAAACAAAGAGTGGAATAAAACAGGCAGTTTGTTCTGCTGGAGCATTTATGAGCACTTCATGTAAGGCCACGTCTCAGGACTTATCACGTACGATTTTCAGAGAAGGAGATGAGGGGAGGAGTCCCTGAAAATCAACTGTTCAGAATGGTAGATCAGGATAGCATGTGAAATGCACT